TACCTTGAAAGGTATTGTGTGATTCCAGTAATGTTTTTGCCTTTTTCCTTGGTGGCTCCCTTGAGGATTCATCTTAGTCGCCTCTTCGACAAACAAACTTGGGATATGGTGCAGCTTTTCATATTGTTGACTGCTATGAAAACTTTGGATATGAATTGGATCTTAATTCTTGTGTGAGTAGTTCTGTGCGAGTCTGCAGGACAATCTATTAAAAGGACAGATTTTAAAATAATGCTCGGTCCAGCCTGTAAGTACATTTGCTGTGACAGTAATAACTGTTTACGTAAAATGTTTATGAGGTAGTGGTTAAATTACTCACAGCTTAGAAAAACCAATCAAGTTATTTCTATGGAAAGTTTGGACGAATTAATTTAGGAAGGAAACATTCTGGTGCACCTTAAAGTTAATGAAACAAAGCTGCTGAGAGAGGTGCTATAAGATGGTCTTTGTCTGCATTGCCCTACAGAGCAATTGCAAATTTTCACTCTTAAGGAGTGGGCATTCACTTGTACCCAGAAGTGCTGGGCGTTCCTTTCACAGTGCTGATCGTGGGATAGTTACTGACTGCTGGGGAGGGTGGGATTTCTGTAAATATTGTAAATAATGTACCTATTGTAAATAGGTAAATATTCCTATTGTTCTCTTGAATACAAAGCAGCAAGGGCTCTAGACTCTTGCCTCAGGAACATTGTAGGTAAGTTGAATGTGAGTATTTAAAGCCAGGCAGGGTAACTCTGTAGCTAGTTACTATTTTAAGTAAAAGCGAACCGGTGTGGTGTAACCATTAGTTACTGCTGGGGCCTAGCAGATGTGTTATTCAGCAGTTATGACTTCCTCCGTCTGTTTTCTCTGGCAACACAGTGGAAGCCCAATGCTAGAACGGTGCTTCAGTTCCAAAGGCGATTATAAGGGATTCTGAGGGCTGTATCCTCTGTCCAGTCTCGCTGCAGCGATGATTCTTTGCCGAGTGGCAAAGCTGGCAGAAATGAACATGTGGGACATAAAAGTGTAGAGATTGGTGTCAGATTGTTGCTTCAGCCATCTTCCTTCCAGCTTCTGTTGAGAGCGTTTCATGTTAAGAAGAACATGTCACATCTCAGCAGCTGTGCTTCACCTCAGTGATCAGCAGCATCTGAAGTAAGGGAGCGTCTGATCCCTGTGGTGTTCCCAGGATGTTACAACTAGGTTTGGAGAACAGGTCTGTTGTGCCACTGGTCACTAATCAAGGCTGTAGTGATTAACTGTGCCTAAGCTACGAGTGAAGGTTCATGTGAGGTTCCTCTGCTAGGACTAAGTTGAGCCGTGGCCGCTGTGTAACCTGAGTCCCATGGTGGGAGGCTGCCAAGGCAGCTGTGGCCCTGTCAGTGTGTCACCTTCGTGCTCCTCTGCAAGCCCAGTCCAGGCCCAGCCTGCCAAGAAACCACGCTTCTGATCAGTTGATGCCTCAGGCCCTGACCTTGTGAAGGTTTTAACAAACACTGTGGGGTCTGAACACAAAAGTTTAAACCACTATCGCCAGTATCCCTTTCCTAAAAGCTGGCTCCAATTGACATTGTTAAGTACAAGAAGAGAGTATTTTGATTCAGAAGTTCTCTGGATGTGTACCACTTTGTTCAGAGTGCTTACCTGTGTCTTTAAAAAGTGGTGGTTTATTTAGAAATTAAAATTATTTTGGAAATACTTTTTGGTTCTGCATTTGACCACATTGATCCTTCTCTCAAATGAGAAAAGAAGCATCTGTACTTTTACTGAAGCAGAGAAGTGTTTTCTCTCAGAACTGACAGGCAAAATGCAGGCTTGCTCTGAAGAGCGCTCATTTAAATTGTTTTGATTAGTTTTGTTGATAGGGTGATACTGCTTCTGCAGATGAAGGGGCATTTTCATTTCCATTAAACCATCTGCTTTTTTAAATGCAATTGTTTCCTTTAAGATAAGGCTTCTTCGGAAATGTAAGTTGTTCAACCAATGGGCAATCATCTCAATGGTCCAGCAAGCAAGTAAAATGAATGTGTGAGCTCCTGTGGATGCTCAAAAATGAGCAAAACCTTGGATGTGGGCACTTAGGGTAATTTCAGATTCAGAAATTTACATTCCATTGCTGGTATCTGGAACCTGGGGAAACACTGTTGCAAAAACAAAACAAAAAAACCCACAACCAACCAAACAAAAAGCCCAAGTATTGTGTTGTGTTACTCTCTTCCTAAGATTTTAGTTTCCTCTAAGTTCTGTTTCTACTTTCTTTATTACTCCCTTGGTTGCTGTCTGATGCTGGTAAGTTTCATGCTGTTTTCCTTTTAATGTGCACTCTATAATGGTAAGTTAAGATCAGTTATTTCTTCAGTGTAACAAATGCTATGAAATGCACAAATTGGCAAGAGACTGTTTGGATTAGGCACTGCTGTTGCATTAGTAATTGTTTCAGTTCGTTGGATTGCTGCTAAAAACTCCTTTTCAACTCAGATACAGACGTTTAAGGTTTTGGCATTACCAGCTGGAATAATGTATGGGAACTATCGAATCATGGCCTGAACCTCTGATGGAGGCAAGCAATGAGTCAGCTGTGGGAGCACAGGTGAAGGCAATTCACCTGTGTGATTGGAAGGGGTGGAGCCTGGCTGCACCTCTCCCGGACTCCATTTGAGGGCTGACTGCCGCTGAGGAAGGATCTCTGTCTGGGTATCGCTCCTCTTGGAGTCTTTTTTGGTAAGCCCGGGATATGGGTAACCTCTCTGTTCATTTTGGATTATCCTCTAACAAGATAATCTTTTCAGCCTAACTTCTCTGTATGCTTATTGATTATATCTCTGTGTACTTGTTGCGTATACAGATAGTAAAACCAATTAGTGCACAGCCATGATTCTTAGATATCTGTAATGTAAGTTCTTATTAATGTTGTGGGTATTGAAGGGTGAGGTCTGTTTTCCACTTATCATTTCAAACACTGTTCTCCCATGGCTGGATTTAGGAGTGGTGCGTAACTATGTTTGAGGAGGATTAGCGTGTGAATGTGCCAGTGTTTTCCATGCTAAGCTTTGAATGACACTATAATGCCAGTTGTCTGCAACCTAGAGAAACAAATATAGGCTGTGCTGGGCAGGAGTCATAGCTTTCTGGACAGAACTTTTGCTGACCCCAGCACACGGCGATGCCAAGCAGAAAAAACACTTGACGTGGTCAGTGTACTTCCAGGTGTATTATTCTGGTAAATTACCAAAGTCTGAGCATGTACCCAGCTGCCTTCTGATCTGTGCTGTGACACCGTCACTATTTGGAAGTTGGCTGAAATGTCCTCAGAGTAGTCTGTGATTGCTCAGACTTATTTGGAGGCTTTTAAAATGGCAGTGCTCTGTAGAATGAACGCGTTCTTCTGGTCTTTTGTGTGACATGTAGGAAGAAGAAAAACTGCTCAACCTGCAGATCCTGGTGACCTTAAGTGGTGGTAGCATGCAGCGTGGGTAGGGTTGGACAGGATTAACAACTGTACCACAATTGGAGCTGTATGTTTGGAGTTGGTGCTATTCTCCCTGCAGCCCTCATCCTTGCAGCTCACCAGAGGCCTTTCATATAAAGTTTATTGCCTTAAGTGGGCCTCTAGATGTAGAATGGTGTAACAGCAGACAAACAGATTAAGGGAAATTCTTCACTTAATCTGACTAAATTTAAGCTTAATTATGAAGTATAATAAAGATTTTCTGTCTTGAGTATCCTCTTAGAATATTTCAACTTTACATTGGTTATGGTAGATGTGGCTAAATGTATTAGGCTTTAGAAAACTGAATTATGTGAGTGTGATCCTATGAGGGCAGTGTTCATAGTGGTGGAAATACCGTTGGCTGTTCCTGCTTCGTATTTATCCGTTTCTTTATCCGTCCCTTGGGCTGCCATGTTTATCTGCTGTCCTTCAGATTGCTGTGTGTTGCCCACTGTTCTCTTATCTTCTGTTTTTCTTCATGTAACTGAGCTCATGGATGACTTGTTATAGCGGAAAGAACAGGAAGATCTCTGTAGTGTTGGAAGAATGGGAGCAATATCATCTGGAGTGAGATCACAGAGCATTTGTGAAACAACTAGGGGACCAGGCCCAGCCAGCGTGGGTTCACAAAAGGCAGATCCTGCTTGACCAACCGGATGTTATTCTATTATCGAGTGATCTGCCTGTTGGATGAAGGAGAGGCTGTTGATGTAGTCTACCTAGACTTCAGCAAAGCCTTTGACGTGGTCACCCACTGTATTCTCCTGCAGAAGCTGGTAGCCCGCGGCATGGACAGGTGCACTCTGGTGAGTAAAGAACGGGCTGGATGGCCAGGCCCAGAGAGTGGTGGTGAAAGGAGTCACATCCAGCTGACGATTGGCCACAAGTGGTGTTCCCAGGGGTTGGTACTGGGCCCAGTCCTGTTCAGTATCCTGATTGATGACCTGGGTGAGGGCATTGAGAGCACCTCAGTAAGTTTGCAGGTGACGCCAAGCTGGGAGGAGCTGTTGATGTGCTTTGGGGTAGGAAGGCCCTGCAGAGCAATCTAGGCAGGCTGGATTGCTTGGCTGAGGCCGGTAGGATGAGCTTCAACACGACCAAGTGCCAGGTCCTGCACTCTGGCCACAGCAACCCAGGCAGTGCTACAGGCTTGGGGCAGAGCGGCTGGAAGCGTGTGTGGAAGAAACGGGCCTGGGGGTGTTGTTGGGCACCTGGCTGAACGTGAGCCAGCGCTGTGCCCAGGTGGCCAAGGAGCCAACGGCAGCCTGGTTTGCATCAGAGATCGTGGTGCCAGCAGGAGCTGGGAGGCGACTGCGCCCTTGTGCTCAGCGCTGGTGATGCCACACGTGGAGAACTGTGTTCAGGTTTGGGCCCCTCAGCACGAGGAAGATGCCGAGGCCCTGGAACGTGGCCAGAGAAGGGCAGCGAACTGGTGAGGGTGTGCAGCACAAGCTTTAAAGGCTTTTAAGGCTTTTTAAGCCTTTTTTTTTTAAGGCTTTTAAGGCTTTAAAGGCTGAGGGAGCTGGGATCGTTCGGTGTGGGGAAGAGGAGGCTCAGGGGAGACCTTACAGCTCTCTGCAACTGCCTGAAAGGAGGCTGTGGCAGGTGGGGGTCAGCCACTTGTCTTGTGGAAGTAGTGATGAGACCGGGGGGAACGGCCTCAAGCTGTGCCAGAGGAGATTCGTGTTGGATGTTAGGGAACTTGTTTTCTCTTGCGGAGTGATGGGGTGCTGGAACAGGCTGCCCAGGGAGCTGTTGGAGTCACTGAGCCGGGAGGTGTTCAAGAGACTTTGAGATGCCGTTCTGAGGGACAGGGATTAGTGGGGAAATACTGGTGGTAGGGTTAGGATGGATTAGATAAGCTTGTAAGTCTTTTCCAAACTTAGAGATTCTGCAATTCTATGAATATTTAGGTAATAATTCTACAAAAGCTGTGTGTAAGTAAAGGCATCAGCTGGTAAATGCAGAGACCGTTCAGTTAAGATCACCTTTACTGAAAAGAGGATTTTACAGCGTGCATGGGGTGGATATTGCAGTAAAAAATCAAAATACAGCATGCAGAGGAATACTCATAGTATTCTCCTTTACTGAAAAAGCCGCAAGTAATTCCTTTCTGTCTACTTGTGGTGGCAATGCAAACCAGTGCAGGAATTTTCGTACTGATTTTTTGGGCAGTCTTTCTCATCGTGGAGTGAAACAACTTTTCTCCAAACCAGCAACGTTGCTACTCTAGAACTGTCTTAAGTGAATAGGTGTACAGATTTAAGGGAGCCAGGCACGCCCCACCTTCTCAGCTCTGTTTATCAACTTCTCACAAATACATTCTTGATCTATTTTAAAATGTGGCAGATTTTGACTTTAAGCAAGTTCTACTGCGCTGCCAGTTTTGTTTTAGTAGCTTTTTGAACTGTCAGCAGGGAATGTTTTGCTCTGAGTGTCCCTATGTTTCAGGGACATCCCAGAGACCCACGGTAGAGCTCACAGAGATTTTCACTGCATGTTGTGTAAAGATAAGCATCATATTTTGGTGCGAGTTGGTCTCTTATAAACAAAACAAAGAGGAAACATGTTCATCTGTCAATAGAATACTGTTCTGCTTTTTCTCCTTTGGAATAACTGAGTGTCTCTGGATATGTCATAGGTAACTTAAATTCTGAAAGCCTTTTTTGGTTCTTCGGTTTGAGTGCATTCTGTGGCTCCAGGCAGATTCCATTGGTATTATGCTGGCTATCGGGTATTATTTTAGCTTTGTAAAGCCAAATTCTTGTGCAGATAACATTTGCAGAAGTAATTGAACATGACTTGCTGTGTGAAAGATAGCGGTCTCCTCATGACTGCTGGGGGGGGAAGGGGGAGGTGTGTGTGGAAAAAATAGAGCTATGAGTGAGATGGTTCAGAAAAGTGCGTTTTTAATATAGTAAGCGTGTAATGAGTAACATAATAAGCAGTGTAATGACACCTACTGGCTATTTTTATTGGTAATCTATAAATTGGTGTTGTTAGACTGCTTAAAAATAATCCCAAGTGGTCAACAGCAAAGCACTGGGAACAAGGAGAGCGCTGCTGCTGTGCTAAGTGGCCAAAGGTGGGGGAAGTATTGCTGTGAGAGTGAAGTTCTGAATTCCCAGAGTGCCCTCCACCCCCAGCTGTGTTGTTTGTGCTTCTAAATGTGGACTTTTCCCTCTTCCCATGCAGCACTGCATCAGTCCATTTTCTCTATCTGCCTGTACTGGAAAGGGTGTTTTGCTTTCACAATGTGGAACGTTTCATCTGCGTGAGGAGTCATTTCTGTACATAAATATTTCATTTGATTCTTTTCTTAGTGATTGTTAACTAGCTGCTACTGTAATGGAAGTTTGAAGACCTAACTCTCACATTAACATGCTTAACAGTGCAGACATGACTCTAGATGAGTGCCAAAGGTGAAGAAGTTAACTTCTTTTTTTTCTTCTCTTTGATCTCAATGTGGTGGGTTGTCTTTTTCTTTTTTTTTTTTTTTTTTCACCTCGGAAAATGGTCAGTGAAACATCACATATTAAATAATAAGTACATATCTGACCTTTCTTAGCTCAGTTTGTTAGCGTTCGTGCATGATGTGAAATAGAACTTGGAAAATCCGCTTTATGAACACTGAACTCTAAAATCTGACAGTAGCTCTCATGCAGAAGGGCTCTCAGGAATGTTATCTTCTATAAAACTTCTTATGAGAGCCAAGTTCTTAACGCATTTCACATCCACTGCCATCAGTGTCTGCTCAAATTGTTCTTTAGCTCCCTTTCACTTGCCTGCTTCAGGATCATCCTGCAGCAGCATCTTGTTTTCCAGGTGCTGGGACGTGGCTGCCAGTGGAAGTAGGTTCAACTTCAGAAGAGAACTGTGAGTCCCAGACAAAAGTCCAGACTGATTCCCTTCTGAGAAGTCCCTCAGGGAAGTTTAAAGCTTGTTTAGAAAGCTTCAAAGCTTTGGGGGAAGATGTTATGAAAGTAGTAGGATCTGAATTCTGAAAATCTACCCCTATGTTGTTGCTATTGGCTAGAGAAGGTCAACGCGTGTGATTTGAAATTGCTTTTTTAAATTATTATCTGGACCAAACATCAGTCAGTCATATGGGCATGCAAGTCCCTGCTTATCATGTTTATCTGTTCTGCTGGGAGAATGCTGAGCTTGCTAACGTTAAGACCAGTCAATTGAAAATCACAGAGAAGGCAGAAACGCAATGCATTTGGAATGCTGTCTGTTCTGTTGCGAACACGCAGAGAAGTCCTGCCTCCTCGATGCTGGAACTTCTTTAATTTGTAGGACTAAAAACTGTGTTCTTAGAGATAGTAGGAATGGTAACTTTGTACTTAAGGAAGATTTTTTTAACTGAAATGGTAGGGATACAATTCTCTGCAAATGGTACTTCTGGGTGGGACTAGATATTGGACACGGCCAACTGGAGCTTCCTAATGCTGCTGCTTTGTTTAAAAACAAAACAAAAGCTTAATTTCCTTTTGTCTGAAAAGTCAATTTCCTTCTCCATACTCGCTCAATTCAAAACAGGTGGGTTTCCAGAGCAAAAGCAGTTGGGCATTGTTTGATGTGTGTGTATTGCGCAGTTGGTTCTTGCCCAATCTTGTTTCTACACGCATAGTTTGGAAGGGCATATTTCTTCTCTAAATAGTGACATGTGGTTCAGGATGAATCATTTGAGATAGATTGGAACGCTCCAAATGTGTTTTTTAAAAGATGCTGAGGAACTGCAGTAATGTTGTGTAGTAGCTGTGATCAAGCAGCTGGGCATTCAGTGCAACAAATGCTACCAACAGTACTTAACTACCGTGTGCCTTCACTGCAGAGAGGCAATGAACAATGCAGGTTATTTTCAAAGCGCATAGAAAATGTACAAAAGCTGATGTAAGTAGAGAAAATGGGTCCCAGTCATTGCTGTGCAAATGCTTCAGGATTTCAGGCTTTCAATCTGATCAGTCTTCAGGGAGCAACACCATCAGTTAAGATGTTATAACATCTCTGGAGCTCTATTTTGAAACATAAAGAAGCTTAAATTTTGTAGAATTGTAGAACTAACGGAAGTGAGAAGTGATTTCATGAAGTTAAATCAACATGCAGGGAAACAAAAAGGAGAAATACCAGAGCTTGGCGCTTTGTGCTACTAGTTGATCAATAAAAGAGGCAGGTGTGGTGATCTGTTGTTATATTTAATGTTCTTTACAGATGTGATACTGGAAGAGAGGGTAACTTCAGATTGTTCTCAGGTAATCATTAACGTGGAGTTGCCCTGGGATCACTGGGATTCCCTAGAGCAGAGAAAAATGTGTTTACCTGGTGAGTGGAACGCAGCATTTGTTCCAAGATGGAGCCTCTTACAGAGCAAGGAATAGACTTGTTTTGGTATATCATGTTCATGTTCGAGATACCTTTCATGTTTAAGGACTGGTACGACACTGTGTTCATCGTGATGCCATCTTTGGGAGATGTGTTGGCAATGCAAATACAGGGGAGGAACACCGCGCTTCTCTGCAAGCTGTTCAATTTGAAATTGAACAACCAAAATCAACCCAAGATCCTCCCCGATCTGTATGCCCTACTGCTCCTTGGACTATGGAGCACACGTGACACTATCCCGGGGAACAGAATGGTAATGTAATGGATGACCACATAGAGTGGCTGATTGCATTTCCACCTAAGTTCTTATTGTAGCAATATGGGGAAGCTAATATCTTGCAAGTGTTATATAGTTTTCTATATCTATACTGATATAGAATCATTGGTGTTGGAAGGGATCCTTAAATGTCATCCAGACCAACTCCCTTAAAATGAACAGGGATGCCTACAGCTACATCAGGTTGCTCAGAGACCTGTCCAGCCTTAGCTTGAATGTCTACAGTAATGGGTCTTTCACCACCTCTCTGGGCAACCTGTTCCAGTGCTTTACTGAACTCCATATACTTATATATATATATATATATATATTTTTTTTTTTTTTAAGATAAGCTTTTATGAGGTTGATGTGAGGCACCTTCTAGTTGCATATATGTCAAGAAATCTGCACTGGTAGCAATAATTACAAAATGAGCAGGACTTATTTTCATAGCGCTCAAAACACCAAACGACTTTCAGTAGCCAGTCACAGTGGCAATAGGCAGTGCTTAAACGATCTTCCTGGGCCAGCCCAAATCTTTGCTGAGGATAATGTGTGAAGCAGTGGGTAGTGACTGCCTAACCTGCCACGGCTGATATGGCTGTGGGCACACATATTCTGTATATGAGCTGTTTCCAGCCTTTTCCTCTTGAGAAGAGCACTTGCGGTGCGGCACCAGAAAGGTCCCTCCAACAGAATTCTGTCGGTGTGCACTCAAAGGGTAAGTGTGAGTGCTGCTCCACTTTCTGAAGGATCAAAGTACAAGGTAGAGTGTTCTGAAGTGACCAGGGACAATTGCTCATATGTACAGACAAACATTTTCAAAACTGCAGTGCCTAGGTTAGGATGTGATAGGAGATATTTTACTGGAGTAAAATTTGGAATATAAATAGTGGATATTATGTTTGATCTTCCTGCAGAGTGTAGACACGCGTAGAGGTACTAATGAATAGACATAGTATGGACTTGACTACACAAATGTATTGCCTTATCCTTAAGGAGAACTGAAAAATGGCTAGTTGGCAATCATGCTGTGCTGGAATTGCAGCCTGGCCCTCCAGCCTGAAGTTAGGACACTTTTTTAACATTAAGTCTCCTAATTGCTTCTTTGCAAGGATGCACAGAGTATGAGTGTTACGTGTGATGCTGTTGATCAAATGAGGATTATTTCTACGCAATCTTAACCATCGGTATTTTGCGTGTCATTAACAGTTAGGGAGAAAGCAGAAAATAAAAGCTGTAACTGAAAGAGAACGCACAGCTTAGGATCTTTTTTCTCAATGTGTGGAAGCAGCTCACATTCATATCTTTTTGCCTCAGGGCTAGGAAGAGTCAGATACCTGTTGTGACATTTTATGGAGTTCCGCTTGGAGAAATGTATTTGCATAGCAAAATGTAATCATCTTGTATACCCTGTTGCCTTCAATTACTTCCAACACACCTGGTAGGCGGGCACTTTGCTCTTTGTGAGCCTGACTGCTTTCCCTCTCTTGTGCTGGTGAATGGAGGGGGAAGACAAGACAATTATCTGTCTAATTTGATTCATAGAAACTGTGAGTGAAGTCTTGGATGTTGCAGCTGCTTCTGCCCCTGAGGAAAACTTGGACAATGTTGAGGAAGGAGTAGCCTCAGCAGCTCAAGAGATGTCTGACACAGCCACGAGGAACCAGGACGCTGATGCTGAGGAGTCGGGGAGAGCGTCAGAAGGTGCTGGAGTGCAGCTGGGTCTGAAACCTTTTATCTCCAAAATCACTAATGGTTGTTTGCACTGAGCTGGCTGAAGTGACGCCTTGTGTTGTTAGTGGTGACGTAGAGGGAGCAGAAAATGTCATTTTGGAACTGTTTGCTGTGCATTAGAAATAGATGCAAGTTGGGGGCTGGTGGCATTCGAGCTCAGTGCCTGCCTAAGTGGCTGGGAGTGAAGTTCCCTTCTGCTACATGGGATGCAATATGCTTTTTTATAAAGCCTCTGACTTGATTTGGAAGGCACCATCTTCTTAAGTTACACCACTGTGAAGAAAAACATAGAATGCTCTATGTGCAAACCTTAGAATGTTTCAGTGCAGCTATTAAGGATTGCTCTTCAGTTTGAAAGATAGAATAGCATGCAAAGAAAAATGTGTGTTAAGATCTTCACAGCAGAGATTTTCAAAGCAGTATTGAGGTTTGGCCCCAAAACTCTATTACGGCTAGATGTATTAAGTTTTAAGGAGAAGTGTCTGCATGCCCAGTGTGACTTAGGAAATCATATCCCCTTAGTCCAAAGGATTCTTGTTGTTCATAGCTGAGAAAGTTATTTCCTTTGTTTCTGCGTGTTTCTGTATGTATTTGGTGTTTCTCATTGGTGTTTTGTGTCCACTTTCAGTTTCTGAGGAGGAGAAGGCACCTGGAGAAGTTGATAAGGAACCCTGAAGGTACACAGCACAATTGCAGCAGGAGGTTTCCTGCAATCCCCCTTGATGTCTTTCCCTGGTAGTGGCGATTGCAGCATGTGGAGAGTCTGCATGTGCACTCTGATGGTGGATTTGTATTTCCACACACTACAATGGCCCAGAAAAAAAAAAAAAAAACAAACAAGGAAAAAAGAGGAAGAAAGTAGTACTTGTTATTGTTTAAGAATCATTGTTAGCATCTTCTAGATGCCTAGGGAGCAAAGCTTTCTCAATTCTCAATCTGGGTATTTGTTTAAGGAATGCTTAGGTATCATCAATTGTGTTGATTACTTCATAGAGAAGAAGTATTTTGTCCATATTTTCTTATTCCATGTGACTCTTTTTTCAAAATGTACAGTAAGATGCTAATAGAACCCCAAGGGGAAAGAAAAGCTTGGCTACAATATGAACAAGAAGCTTGGTAGAAAATGTATTAGTAGAAGCAAAAGAAAGCTAAGCAAACAAAGCTCTCAGGTCAGGAACTCTGCAACTTGTTTTTATTCTGAGTTAGCAATTAATACACTGGTTATTGGAGCACCAGTACAAGAGGAGAAGGAAACAGAGGAAAGAAGGTGTTAATTTTCATTGTGTCCTCAAAAAGCTCGATGTCTACAAATCCTGAGGACATACAAACGATGCAGTAGAGAGAAAGTTACGGTGTTTGGGAGTGTTTATTTAATCCTTTTTCTCCACCTGTCAACATCCTGCTGCCCTAAAAATTGCACCACTGTTATGCTAGTTGACATTTAAAAAAATACTACTAATTCAGTGAAGGGGCAGTAACAGAGGAAATGATCACTGAAGCCTGGAATTGATTCTGAGAGTTTGTCTGAATAAGAATACGCTGTTGTTGCCCTTTATTTTGAGAGTATGGAGCAGTTCTGTGTGTGGGTCTCAGCCCCAAACTGGCGCTGCCGTGGAATTACTTACATTGGTGGTCTCAGCAGACGTTATTGCTGGACTTCATGCTTAAAGTTAAGTGAGAAACTATTTGTAGGCTGAAGGAGTAGTGAATGTGCCCAGCGTGCAGGGAAATAACTTACACCTGAGTTGCAGGGCTGAAGTCAAGGGATTCATTGAATCATGCTTTGGTGGGGGTAGCTGAGCAAGTTCTTACAAGCCATCCGATGAGTAGGATTTACGCAGCAGTAGTGTTTACGTGCTGTAGCTCACGTAACCTGCAGTCAGAAATACAGTGTACTTTGTATGTTTGCAAAGAAGCAGACGTGATGAACAAAGTCTGTTGCTAAACATCCATCTAAAATGCATTCTTTTTCTTTTTTTTTCCCAGTGAGCTGCACTGACGCCTTTGAAAAGTTTACCAGAAAAGTCTGTGGCAATCGACCAGCTGATTCCTGTGAGAAACCTCAGGCTCTTCCTTGGAGACATAGAACAAGCTGTGCAGTTTGTCTCACCACACGTTACATGTTAGGACCGGTGTTCATTGCTGCAACAGACAACCTAATACGACTTAAGTTAGTTAGACAGGCGCTGCTGTCATTAACAACTCTGCTTTAGAAAGTAGCACCCAGCACCAAGTGCCAGAGCGCCACCCAGCATGCAACAGATAGATGTGCTAAATGAAGCAGTAGGCTTCACCGTATCCCTGCCAGGTGAGCTTGTTCTAGTTCCTGGTTGTCCAGGTGTCTACTTTTGTTTCTTACTTTAGGTCCAAACTGCGGTGCTTCATTGTGCCGCCATCACATTCCGCTCCAAAATGGAAGTTAAAAGTTCTAAGCAAGTTAAAACCTTATGCGAATTACCTGTTTGCAGTTGTAACCATTGGACCTTTGGCTGTACAAAACATCTGGTTTTCCTTCTGTGTAAGCATTTTACATGCTATGCTTCCTCGCACCATAGAAGCCCAGAGTAAACATTTTTATAGCTCTTGCTCTGAGGACAAGAACTGTGTGCATGTAGTAGCAATAAGTACTGTATTGCAGCTTGACAGAAACAATGAGCATCAAAAGAAAGCTGGTTGAGGTTGTTTTTATTGCTCAGAGTGGTGGCTCATACTTGGGGGTGCTGAGCCCCCTTCCTACCAAGCTTAGTTCGGTTTGTTATAATCTTTGTTTTGTTCTGCCTTAGCAGTAAGTGGCATTAAAACAAACAAACAACAAAACAGCATTGAGAGAAGACTCTTGGACAAATGAGCAGAAATGTAGGCTGTTGTGAAGCTCCTCTCAGAGCTGGCGTGTGGCTTGCAAAATCCCCATAGGTGGCTATGGCACAGGTGTTTAAACGGATGAGGATCTTTAGGGTCTAATGAGGAACAGAATAGCTATGGAAAATCAGAACAAGCAGTTTGTGTCACAGTACTTTCCCTCTGAGAGGGGCGCGTTGCAAGTGGGACCAAATGTGAAAAAGAGCAGGGAAAATTATCTACAAGACCCTTCACAAGCCAATAGCCTTCACACTCCCCCCCAGTTTCTTGGCTTGTCATTGTTGTCTTAATAATGAAAATATCTCTAATAATCAGTTTGCATGCTGATGCTGTCCTAACCCTGTTCTGCTATTTGCAGGCACACAGTTGTGTATCTACTAAAAAGTGTTTACGGAGATCCTCATCAGCTAGCAAGTGTTGCAGCCATCACAGCATAATAATAATTCTAAATGAAGCCTACATAAAGTATAGTGTACACAATTAATATAGTAACTCTGAACCAAAAGGTCTGACTGCTTTCTCTGCAAGCAGAAATTTGAAGAGATGCTGGAAGGGTAATTACAGTGTTATTCCTACCCATTGTGTAGAGAAAGTCATGCTGTTTCCTTTATTTATAGTAAATAATTAGTGTCTCAACAGAAATATGGCCTAATGCCTCTGCACTTGTTTGTAAATACCTGGAATAATGCTGAAGCAAAATCAGGCTCCGGAGCACCACAAAGTTCTCCTACTTAAAGGGTAAAGCCTCTGTGATTAAACTGTTTTTACAGACAGAGCTACTGCAATAAAAGTCTAAGGTTGATATTTGTTGGTTGTCAGTCTGTAGTTATCTGGTAGATTAAACATTCTATGTTAGATAGATGTGTGCTCTTAATAATACTATTTCAAATTTAGCTATTTTCAATAATAATTCCCAGTGGAATAAAGCTCTAATTTGTACACCTGGCTGTAGGGTTTCTGACTCTGTAGGACTTGCTGACTGCTTCTTAACCTCTGGAGTTCTTCAGGTATGTGGCAAACAAACCACAAGGGGTATGTATTAGCCCAGGGTAACTGATGCATGAAGAACATATGGGGTGCATCTCAAAGCCTATCATCTCTCAGTTTCCAAAAAAATGTAGTCGTTTCAGGGTAAGCCATATATATATATATGCTTCGTGTCAGAGACCCTCTATACACTGCTTCTGAAGGAAACTAGAAATGCATTATCAGCTTCAGCTGTGATGACAGTGCAGCGTGGTTTGCTTCAAACTCATTTACCCTGCATTAACAGCAGATGTCATGTCCTGTAGTAGGAAGAGGGCAAGACTAAATGAGATGGGGAGAAAGGCTGTGCTTGACAATATACTTGAAATCCCAGGGTAAAACTTGAGAGTCTTGTCTTTGTCTGAACTGCCAAATGCTTCTCTGTGCTCAGCAAGTGTCTGCAAAAGCAGGCAGTGAAGCGTTTACCTCCCTCTAGCGCTGGTTTGTGAAAGGGTGACCACCTGCTGCTGCTAGCAATAATTCGCTTAGCTGTTGTGCTGGACACAGGTGAAGTCCATCCAAGTCTCAGTTGTACCCTTTCCCATGCTCATATCAATATACAATTTCGTTTTTTACTTCTTAAAAACATAAGACAATTTATTTAAATAGGCATCTGAAACTGCAAGTTGGTGCTCAAAAGTTGGAAAATGTGAGGGTGAAATGCCTCAACCAGGATTTCTTGTGCCTGAGCATCAAGGTTTGATGATGTGATTAAATCGAGTTTTTACTTGGTTGTTTGGTAAACAAGCAAAACAAACAAACAAACAAACCCCAAAGCACTGCACTGAGCACTGGAGCTGTGTTTCTTTTCCATCTTTCTCTCCAGTTTTGTACCAACCAGCCCCCCCAGCTCCTGTTTTAGCACAGGAGGGGAAATACACACAGCTCCTCCAAGCTGAGTGACAACCTAGGAGCTCAGTGGTTTGTTCTGTTGTGTTTGCTTGCAGATGGTACCAGCTTGGAGGTGCAGCTACTGCAGGCACTGTTTCCTGTTTGCTGATGATAAGAGATAAAGCAGTGTCACTTACAGAGCACAGGCACACATGGGTTGAAGGGGAAACATGTAAAGACACAAGGTATTCTGTGCCAAGGGATGCAGGAGCAAATATTGCTTGGTCTGCCACCTGTGGATTAACTAGCTTATTTCTGGAGTGCTGCCCCTATTGTCACATGCTCAGTTCTACTCTTTGGAATGTTTTTTTCTTGGTTGCATGCTGCTGTTGCTCTGCTTGCTGCTGCAGCAAACAGGTGTGCAGAATGAGAGAAGTAAAGTTTATTCCACAGCCGTGATCAATGAATGGTGTGGTAGTAGCAGGATTTTCCTTTGTTCTGGTCTTTACTCCTTCTCCTGGGATGCTGTGGGAGCTGTTGGCTCCTCCAGCTTTACGGGGACAGGAAGAAGGGCTTCTGATGCGTACTGGCTTCATTACACGTTCAGTGTCATTTAGTTATCTAGAATCTTGCTTATTCAGTGATAAATAATTATCCTTATTTTAGACCTTCTTGAAGTCTCAAAAGATGCAGGTGAGCTCTAACTATGCCCCAGCAGAAGTTTTGTACAGAAAACTGTGCCATCTGTACCCTATCTCCCCTGTTTGGTATTGACTTCAGCGTGCAAACCAATTGAATTAAGGGAGAAAATATGAGGAAGTGGAAGAAAAGAGAGAATTATGCATATCCAGATGGTAATTTCCACGTTTCTTTCCCTCTCTGTAGTTAACATACAGAGGTCTGCAGAGACTTCGTAGATCACTTTCTTGTGAGCTGATTTTCTCCCGCCTTCCTTCTTTGTCAGGCTACTTTAGTTCTTCAGTAGTGACTGGGAAATTCTGTTCTCCACTGAGGGCTACGTGGGGGCAATTAACCATTGGTTAACATGCACTCACGTAATCTAACAGAAGAGGGCACTCCATCAAAGGCGGTAGGGATATTAAAACGCAGAGCAGAGAAAGCACTCCCCAAAAGCTGAAGCTGAGCAGGAAGAATTAAATGACGTACGATTCTGCTCACTGGGTTGTTTTTAATAAGCTGAACTGTACAGCTCCTTTTCATTCTGCTCGTTGCAGCGAGCAACTTAGTTCCAGGGCAAACTGTGGTGTTGAGGCTGTTGTGGCAAGATAGAAGCCAAACTTGGAGTTAAAGGCTTGACAGTTCTTGGCAGCAGGTACACAGTCTGGCGTTCTTCTCAGATGCAATCTTTGTTAATCTGATGTTTATGCTTGAGAATACAAACGTGGAACATCAGACTTAGAATCGTAGAATGGCCCGGGCTGAAAAGGACCACAACGATCATCTAGTTTCAACCCCCCTGCGATGTGCACGGTAAAATTAGGTCCTCGAATGAGGTCCCACGTCACTGCAACAACAACGTGACTCTTGTACAAAGTAGTACAGGGCTGGAGGAAACCTCTGTCGCTGTGGCTTCTGTGTAGCTTTTGTTTCTGTGTCCAGAAGGGTACTTGTAGCCGGTAAAGCCCCACGTCTTTCGCTCTGTTCCGAACCTCCCAGACCAAGGGACGGAGGCGGTTGGCCGTAACGCTCCTTTGTGAGCGGGCTGACGGCGGTCCGCCCGTACCGACAGGACCCCGACAAACGCTGCGCTGTGCAGCTGGCCGATTTCGCGCAGCGCGTGCTCTAACGCTGACAACCGCGACTGGTGGACTGCCTCACGTAAAGGCACAAAACCTTTAAAGCCGACTGACGCGGCGGGGACTGAAACCGGACAAGCTCCTGCACAGCCCGGCTGAGCGCCAGCGCTGCGAGGCGCTATGAAGCTGCCCCTTCCAGAGGCGGGCGGCGGCTGCCGGCACGGCACCCCGCGGGACGGCCCGCAAGCCGAGTGGGGCAACGGTTCCGGCGGGCGCCTGCGCAGGGGCCGAGCGGCCGCGCATGCCCGCAGCGCCCCGCCGAGCGGCTCGAGCGTGTGC